GAATCCTTTTTTACACGTTTGTGTTATAAGGTTTGGTCTTCGGCATTTTTCGTTGCAGGTGTGTATTTGATTGGCTATGACTGCAGCATAGAGTTCGGGTTCATATAGTGGATCTGGCATAGTTGATCGTATTACATCATTTTGGATCATATCTTAAATGGTATTAGCTGTCCAATAGCAACTATGGGTATGAGCCACGCCTCGGTTTTGAAATTCAACTCTGTTGAAGAAATTGGTAATTTTACCAAAGCCTGTAAGGTTTGGTTTTTTATAAAGTTCTTTTTTTAATGACTGAAACCTGTGAACAAAATAATTTGTGCAGTGATATGGTCTATTGGTTGGTAATGTGTCACGATTATCACTGTTAGCAAGTATAGTATGGAGGTGCGACCAACGGCTTTCAGCCATACTTAAGGTGATAAATAAGGTTGGTAGATTAAATTTTCATATCATTGCGTTTAAGTGAAGTTGTTTTTGGTAGAAATAAGTATCTCCTGTGCGTATAAATGATGGAATAGGAATGGTTATATTTTCATTAATTATGTTATATGGAGTGTAAGCACTGGGATTAAGTAGATCTCTGCCTGATGGGAGGCGTTCATTGTTAGTGAGGTTTGGGTTGATACTTCGGAGTATTCGTTGTGTGTTTTGATGGTGTCTTAGTTTTTCCAATTGAAGGTAAGACCAAGAGGGCCAGTGGTTATGAAGTCTCCATCTTGAATCAATATTCGTTAAGCGTAATTTAATATATTTGCCATAAGTTTCATCACGAGTTTCGTTTTCTAATGTAGATTGGTTTGAGATATCATGAAAATGACCTTTTCCATCAGTAAATAGGTTGGGAAAAAGTAAGGGTTCTAGGTTTGGGTCATGGGTAGCAATTGGTAATCGTAAGGTGTCACTTTCTTGGACAAAGCCTGCCATTAATCTGGTATAGTGAAAATCTTTGTTATGGATTTCGTCTAGAAAATCATAGTTAGGTACTATTATTTCATGAGAGTTGATGGGAGGTATTTCGTTATTAGTTTGGCTGTGTTGTGCTATTGGAAAGGGACCATTTCAATTTTGTTGTAATAAGAGATTAGAGAATGGGCGAAGATACAGATTATTTTCAGATAACCAGTTAGCAGCGCGTTGCAAGGCTTGATTATAGTTCGAGTTATTAATTGAATTATTATTGTTTTCTGGCTCTAAAAAAGCACCTAAAGTTTCAGAATATAATGCAAGAGCTCTGGAGTTGCGTGAATAGCCCATGGTTCCAGTTAAAGATCTATATTCAGAATAGGGATTGCTATTTGGCATTCTACCTAAAGAGCAATGGAGGTATACTGGTGACAAGCATTTTCTTATATGTAAGGGAACAGAAGTAATTTCTACTGCCATTGGAGAAAGATAAGGGAATGAAAACCTTGTTTCGGGTTTTTTACAAGAATTACAGGTAGGTATTCTAAGATCTGTAATTAGATTAACATTGGGGTTAAAGGATAAGGAAACACCGGGTTTGCGTTGCTGTAGAGAGTAAGTAATTGATGGATTGTAAATTATCCATGATGCTTTTTCAGGATATAGAAGGGTTCCGCAATATACACAAGCAATTCGGGACCATTGTTTTAAAATATTATTTTGGAACCTATCATATAAATTTTGGAGTTCATTTGAGGGTCTCCAATATGTACGAG